AGGCAATGGGTCCTCGTCCAATCTGGCAAAGGAGAATCCAAACGTCCAGTATATGTCATCATATTTTCTTACCTCTTTCTTTATTTTATTGGCTCGCTCATTTTGTGCAGCTGTAGATGGTCCAGGACTTTCATTATCTTCTCCACCAGTGCACCCTTCTCTTTTTCAGAAAATAGATTGATCCATGTCAGATTGAAATACTGAAAAACATAGTCCTCCTTTTTTACAGTTGTAAATGGCAGACTGTGTGTATGTTGCTAAGGTTACCTTGCAGTGAATGCACCTTTTGCAGCTTGTTTTTTTTTTCTATACTCTATCCAACATATGCAGCTCAAAACATTACACTTATATAGCTTTTACTTAAATTACTTAAATAACATGAGTTATGTTGAGTTAAGGATTTACCAAGAGCTTGACTGAAGAATGCAGTTTCACCAGCTGACCACCTTTTGGCAGAGGTCCACATTCTGGGAACCCCTGGTCTATAGTATATATTGTAGGAGAACCAAGGCAAAAATCAATCAACAATCATGAGAGAAGAACAAACAAAAGCAAGAGCACAGTGTGTGTGTCTCATTAAATGTTTGTGTCGTAAGTGAGTGTAACATGGTAGCTGTCCCAAGCAGACTCCAAGCACTTTAGACCCCAATTCAGCACTATGCTTGAACATGTGTTTAATTTTAAGCATGTGAGAATTCCCACTGAGTTCCATAGCAATAAGAATATGCTTAAAAACTAGACGTGTGCAAAGGTACCTTGCTGAATTGGGGCCTTAAAGAACAACACACAGAGAAGGTCAATAGTGGGGTGAGGTGGATTAGGACCAGGATTCCATCCAGCCATAGGACCATCAACAAAGTAAAGAGCTTATGACATTTCTGGCTCAAAAGGCTGCCAGTGGTGTCCTCTTAGCAGATTCAAATACTCTCTGGCAGTAGATAACCTCTGTATGTCCTTGGGCATTCGCTCAGCGTAGGCACTGGATCCATGTATCCTGTCTTAATCCAGTCCTGGTTACAGAGCTATATACACCAGAGCTACTATAGGACTTTTTCCAGTCAAGGAGCAAGGACCTTATCCTCAGCATGACAAGTGATGTGCCACATTCTCCATCTCTTTGAATCTTAGAAACTGCGTTAGTGAGCTGACCAAATGCCACTGGAATTCAGTCAGAATCAGGCACTAATTCCCTCCAGGTCTCTTGAAAAATACCAGCCTAACCCAAGATCAGATGCCTTTCTGAATAACGCATTCAAGTTCAACCATAATTTGCTGGGCTGCATGCAGGAATCACTGGATGAAGTTCACTGCCCTGTGTTATGCCGAAGGTCAGATGAAATGGGACCTTAAAATATATTATGGATTTTGCAGACTTTTATTCATTGTCTTCGATGGGTCCTGCTCAACTGGGAAAGCACCACTCGGGAAAGGATGGAAGGATTTGCAGAAAAGGGGTCTTAAGTAATGGCATCAGAACTGTATGCTAACAGTGTGATTCAGCAAAGCGTTGGACTCTTACGGGCCATTGTTGCTCAGCTCCTTGCTTCTAAAACAAGAATTACATGGTAACAATGAGACCACTAATTTGGGGTTCCCCCGTTTAATTTCAGCCAATCTGGACCTTTTTCTCCAAAAGTGCTCAGCACCGACAACCCCAGCCACGCCTACTAAGGGTACTCAGTAAAAACAAAACAAAACAAACCAGTCAAAAGCTCACAAATGGGGCATAAAAAAGAAGAGGAACTCAAATTTAGTGGACACTTTGGTAAAAATTGGCTTTCGGGCTTGATTTGGAAAAATTGGGAAATGTCACCCCAAGACAGATAAGGCCAAGAGACCTATCATCTGCGTGAGTGCTCTCTAAGAAACTCGAAAGTGGACAGCTGTGCAGCGAGCCATATAATCGTGACTCTTAATTTTAGCTCAAAGTCCCAAGCACACTGTGGAGAAAAGCTCTTTGTGTTAAACATTCAAACACTTTAAAATAAGGAGTGAGAAAGCTCATAGTGCACATCTCGGGATCCAGTAAGGGAGGCCTCCAGCAAAAAAAGACAGATATGGCTTGACATCTTGACATAATCAAATTTCTAAAGTAGACATTACTAAAATAAAATAAATTAAAATAAAACTTTTCTAAAGGGAAAGCAACAACCATAAATTGTTCAGGGTTTCTGTATATAACAACTCCCCATCTTTCCTGTCTTTTCCAACACACACACACACACACACACACACACACACACACACACACACACA